AAAAAAATAATATGATGTAACACAAAAATACAAAATAAAATTCTTACCTAAGTCGACTAGAGCTTGCTGAACTTGTATTGACGGTGCATCACTAGAGCTACAAGCTTCTATCACCCAATCTTTGTCGTGTATTTGTCGCTAAGATAGAATTATTTGATAAAGAATGTACTTAAGAAACAAACACAGCGCCTAACTTACCAGGATATTGTCTACACTTTCCACAGTAACAGCCTGACTATTACAGAAATCTCGCCACTCGCGCTTGAGTACAATATCCACATCAATGGTATCGTAGCTTTCTGCTAAACTCTTAGCGCGGCTGTAGTCACGTTCATTCAACTAAAACAGAAAATTTAGTCTCTCCGTTCGAAAAATGATTTTGAAACCTGACCGACCGTTCGCTCAAACAGTTCCTGCAGGGTTCTTGTTGGTGCGTGAAGCAGTGCAAAGTTTAGCGACTCAGAATGTGTGGCCTTCTCCAAAGGTGCCGGGGCGTCTCCAGCAGCTATACCCATGAGCTAGAAAAAGGTAACATGACTTCACAGGTTCATGAAACCAGATTGATGAGATTCCGAAAAAGGCTTTACATTTTTGAATGAGCTCCAAAGAGTGAAGATCCATAAGCGACATGCTAGTGATGTACGTCGAAGTGCAACTTCACGTAAGGTCTCACTTCCAGCCTAAATGTTGGTAACCTGTTAACTTATGCGGGTACATGGCCAGAACAAAATCAATTTACATCAGTGGCAAGAATGAAGAGCTCGCGGTAACGCGGCGCCACCAAAGTTGTTCGAGCTGTGAAGATGTCAGTATACTGAACTGCATAGATAGCATCTTTCAGATCATCTAGAGTGCTCCGGATCATCTCGCCAGAATGGAACAGCACACCGACGTCCTGCAAAAAAGATATAGAAAATAGGCAACTAAAACAAGTTTACGAAAGAATTGTGGCAAAAAGTGGGATAAGCCTGACTTGTACAAATGGAACTGTTCAAGAGAACAACTCGGAACTAGCTAACGGTTGCTAACACTTCGAATAAAACAGACTCTGCCCAGAAATCTCAAAAATCGCAAAAATCAAAAGTTTAGTAACCACCCGACATTCGCTTAAGATGGTCAACAAATGCTGTCAACAAAATATTGAAGGCTACGGCTAGTAAGAAGAAAGTAGAAGTTCACACACCTCATCTTCAATAAAGACTGTTTGAACAGGTCGTGGTCCTGAGATGTATTTCACTTGGAAGGCTAAGCGAGTAGAAGGCAGCTGAAATCAACTAATTGGGATACCATATACCAAACGCGCAGGACTGAATATTTTTTTACAAAAAATAATTCGCTCCAGAAGTAAAAGCATACATCAAACAAGAAGAAGTCGCCAATGCTGGATACCGCAGCAAGCTTTGAGTGTGACTCATTCATAGACATGGAAACCAGATATGCATACGATGCTGAACTGAAAGGAAGGCGGGAGAGCCAGCCTCCTGAAAACGAATCTAATGCTTCCTATACACAGTGCAGGTAAGAGGAAATAGGATGAAACAGAAAGCAGTCCAAAAACCAAAACATTCTAAAAACCACTTACCTTGCTCGTCTGCAACTCTGATAGGTTCAACGAATGGATCAGTGTCGATCAAACGGAATGAGCTCAACCCTCCCGGTAAAACTTCATCAGCAGAAGCTCGATAATGAGCGGAAACCAGTAGTAGATTGTAGTTGGGAAGGACGCAAAATGTACCGGCAAGACCGATATCTAACGATATGGACCACAACTCCTGATATCTCGTTAATCGCCTGCAATTCAAGATCTGATAGATAAGGTAAAAGAAATATAGGCCTACCTACCCAATTTTGAAGACGGACATCGTGCCATGATACTGTAGGGCATACAAAATATCCGCATATTTCTCATCTGATGAGTTATTTGGAACAGTTCTTATGGCAGAGATAGCACAGACTAGATCCAGATTGTTCTGCGGCGCTTCCTACGGAAAGGTTACGATAACGAATCAGATAGGAAAGGAAAGACACAGCCTACCAGAGGTATGTCATAACAGTAACCGCCTTGGTGGTCGAAAACGTCGATTTGTGCACTGCTTCGAGTAGACAACAGTAGTGTTCCAGATGCACTGAACTCGAGAAGGCAATATTGAGGGAATTCATCCTCCAAAACTGAAAATAATGGAGCAAAACTCTTTGCATGCAACTCAGCAAGTTTTAATCAACTTCAATTGGTACTATAAATTCGATTTTTTGAAACCCAGTTAAGGTCAAAGACAGAAAATGACATAATTTCCTATGTCTTGTTCCGAGGTAGGAAGACTTTAGTTCATTCTGGTCAAGCCATACCTTGAACGCTTGACTCTTGAACAATTTTCTGACCATCGATGGCATAGACATCTAATTGACGACTATGATGCATTAGAGCAAAGCGGTCTGCAGCTCTGTAAAGTTTTCTATGCAAATGAGCGACGCATTCGGACTGGATATAAAATGCAGAGTAAACCTTTGTAAGAAGTAAAACTCACGGAGAAACTGTAATTTTGCAAAATGGCAGCGATTCCACATAGCTGGCAATTTGCGTAGGAATCAGCAGATTTGGCGACTTGATCTCTACAGTGTCCGTCCATTTTAGCATCTCATACTTCTCTTTCAGAAGTATCTTCGAGTTTTCCTCGGCATCTTTCGTATAATCAAGCTCAGACTCGAGACGACGTCTCGACTTCTTCATAATCTGAAACAAAACCATAACTCTATTGCAGAGAAACAAAACTGAATCTAAAAACGCTGGAAAACTTTGTAAAAGGAACCACGGTGATAAGAACGGTGCCAAATGCTCTGCATCGCCTAACGCGCTCCAGTTATAATTTCGGCGCAGAAAATCGAGTTGGAGCAAATTGCGCAACAGTTTGGAGTTCTTCAAATTCTCTTTATTTTTTCACTTTTCTCAAAGCTGCTGTTCATACAGTGAAAATGATGAAACAGCGGGCGGCAGATGCGGACAATGCTGATGATGAGATGGAAGGAAATCAGGTGGATACCGGAATGCTATTTTCCATGCTTTTCCGTTTCTAATAATGTTTTTACTTGCCTTCCTTTAAATATTAAATTTAGGCATCAAAAGCAGCTCTTACATCCATGCCCTATCAGTGCCAGGAGTTGATTCTTTACGGAAGTGTATTCGCCGATAACTTGCCGGTATGCTCTTCATTGTCGTTATATTCTTTTAGTTGACTTTCATTTCGTTCATTTTTTTGTGGTTTCAACTTTCTTCGAAATCAGCTATTTTGAATGTGCAGAGAATACGCTGGAATCCGTTAAAAAAGTACTTCAATATTAATTTCTAAGTCTACTCTGCTTCTAAGTAGGACTTGGAGCGACGGTTGACGGGTTTATGCGATCCTGGATCTACAGAGTTCCATGAACACGACCTCTCCTTCAGTCTTCGCACGGGAACTGATCCGGATGTCACTATCAGGTTCGCAACTATTATCAGTTTTGTCCAAAATCAGATTGTAAAACCAGTCTCTTCAGGTTACGACGGCGTTTCAACGTCGATTCGTTCAACAGCCATCAGTGGCAGTTCCGATACATTGGAGGTAAGAGAAGACTTCATCTTTCGCAGAATTTAATCCATTTTTTTCATTTTAGGCCCAGAACCAGACCAGAAATGTCCCGTAATAGTGCGGAAGGTCATAGACTCCATTGCTTACTCGCACCTGATGATGGACTTCGTGAAAACACTGGGTAAGTTTAGTACCATTATGGACAGATGATTTTCCTTCATCCGCCTTGTTTCACATATCTTTTCGCTTTTTTTTGATCCTCAGAGCATTTTTTACGATGTTCATATGATAGTTTTAGAACTAGCAACCTGTTTTCTTCATTTTGCTTTGTCTTTATTAACAAAGCTAGTCTGCTAAATCTTTGAATCAACCTATTTTGAAAAACCAGAGTTTTTGTTCATACAAATGTACAGGTTTGCGCATGGATTACGAGTACATTGCTAAAGGAACGGTATGGACGAATGGGAAGATGAAAGTAGTTTTGAGTCAAATCCAGAAAACTGAAAAGGTTTCTGCTCAGAATCATATCAACTTTAGCCTTCACTAGTGAAAATATTATTGAATCCTTTATATTCAGGCGGGCCACTATGATCAAGCAAACCTAAAACGGTTCTCCGACTCATATCTCGTAGAAATGAGTGTCTGTCTTCCAGATTCGGCTGAATACATGTCTGTAAGTCCGTTTGCCATGGTCTTATAGTCTTTTGTCTACAGTCTGATTTTCATGATATATTTTATCATTCTCATATTGCTGAGTTATACCTTATATTGCGTTTCTAGGCTGCCAAGCAGCTACGAGATTTTGCTGATCAACTATTGCCTTTGGTCGAGATGGAGAAGGTGGATTACTGGAGGAAATGAAGCTCGGTTCACTGATTCTTGATTTTTCTTATGTGGCTTTATGAAATTCATGCATAAATTATTTTTTTCCAATTTTGTCTTCTGTTGGAAAGGTTCATCTCCACTGGTTTCTGCGTGTTCATCTGAAATTAGTACTTGTCAACATTCTTTTTTAGAATATGACAGATGCCGTCGGAGAAAGTGTTGCAGCGGTGAAAAAGGAAGAGGAAGCTGTACCTAAAGTTTCAGATCCGGGAGGTAAGTCCTTTCCCAGGATTTTAGCAGTTCAGCTCTTCTCCCTCATTTCTCGAGAATGCATTTTTGCAGGATCTGCAGCTGAGACCGCTTCGACAACATTCCCTAATCAAATTGAAGGTGATCATGCCGGTTACTGTGCTAATGAACCAGCAGAAGGAGAAGATAGCGGTAAGAAAAGTCCAACTTTTGACTTTTATTCTATGTCTTTCGGTTTCTTTCCTCACAGATGCTACAAATGACGCCAATCCTAAGCAAAGAAAGCTAAGGTTAGCTGTTGCTGGATGCGCACATGGTGAAATGGATAAGATCTATGAAGTTTTGGCTGAGATAGAACAAGAAAAAGGCTATAAATTTGATCTACTTATCTGTTG